AAGATGCAATTCGTCAATGGTGTTTCTTGCCATCATCATCAGGAAATTCTCAGGAAGACCTCAGATCAGATGGAGTGGTTGTTCATGATTCTATAAAATGAAGTAAAAAGCATTTCCAACATGAAAAACTGTTGCAAAATCAATAAATAAAAATGTGTGCCTGTCGATATGGACAAAACTAGGCTACAGTATCTATAGACTATGGCTAAATAAATATAATTACTGTACAATAATCGGTCGGCCCCCTAGCCTGGAGAAAATGATTTTCAAATGAATATGATAGGTAGGACCATGGGCAGGACTCAGCAGACAGCTAGCCTAGGCCTATAAGGCCTAGGCCTACAACAAAATTATTTTCGTTATTCATAATTAGTAAAAACAAAAAACAAAAAAAAATACGTGGGCAAAGTAAGTAAAAAAGTGGACAGTGTTTTTAAATTTTTTTCGTTTTTAAGGGCCAAACTTGACAATCGTAAGTAAAGTGAAGACCTGGACGTAACTGCAAATGAGACTACTAAGCGTAGTCCTAGGCTTACACATGAGCGCTACAGAGGCCGATCGAACAGATTTTAGGCCACATTATGGTCGTAGTATCTCGACCGGACATGACCGGACACGGTTAATTCGTGTACCAAATGAAAGATACAGCTTTCTATTTTCGTCTCAACTAAATTTTATTAACCGGCAACAACCGGAACATTTTACAAATATTATTTATTGACATCACTTTCGTTCTTACAATAAAAATAAGCCAATACTTACAACTGATAAAAGAAACAGTTATTTTAAGCCGATTTTGACGTTTAAAGTATGCATTTTCTCGCCGAAAAAAAAATCTGTCTGAATATACCAAACACGCACACAAACAAACCGTGGATGATGAACTGCGCATGTGTTTTTTAATTCTAATGTTTAAATGTTTGTGTATTAAGTACTCCACTAACGCCAGAGCGTCTATAGGGGTTTACACTTAAGCAGCGAGGAGCTGTGTGTACAAAGAGATAGTGCTGTGATAAGCTCCGCGGGTGGCCGTAGTGCAATTTAATAGGCACTAGCTGACTGTTTAATTGGATTAAAGATAAGCGATAAAGTCGATGTTACTCCTTCTGTTCTATTTTCTCTATGGTGTGTGTGAGCAAAGTGAGCAGCGGGTTTGTAAACGAATAGGCTCCTAAATGGTGTCTCACGGTGGGTATAATGTTTTCCTCATAGTAACTGGTGGACATGTAGTTGTGCAAGAATTGTTTGTTTTTTATGTTGATGAGAAATGTAGGACGTACGCGATAAAAAATATACCCCCTACCACCACTTTTGAATCGTTTTTAGGAGAAAATTTCGATATGCGCATGCGTCGGAAAAACTTTGCCGACATTTTGTTTTTCATCGCGAGAGGGTAACGAGCTCAATAATGCATACCTTGTTGGTTTAGTTGACCAATTGTTTACGGGATCGTCGGTAGGGTTAGGCCTCTGTCGTGTTAATGTAGAAGGTGCACGTGTTATTAAAAATGAAAAAAAGTGATCTAACCAAACACGGTCTTTACATAATGGTATTGGATCGAACGTGTTTAATATTTTGCGGAAATTTTGTTTTCTATCGCGAGAGTATACAGTTTACACTAGAGAAGTTGTCTGTGTTGTTTATGCGAACGTCTAGGCCCTAGCGTGAACTTAGGTAGTTGTGGTAAGTCGACTACTACTTGTCGTCTAGTAGGTGTAACGTGTGTTTTAGTAAAAATTAACATTTTACATTATAGTATTGAATCGAATGTGCTTACCTACCTAAAGTCTTTTACACACGATGAACACGGCAATTGACGTTGCTGTTGGTGTGCAATACACTATAACAACTCCCTGGCAATACGTACAAAACACGACGACGACAGCAGCATTCAGTCAGTCTTGTTAAATAAATAATATATTGGTCTACCACAAGACTACCATACAGATCAATAAACAATAATCCGCGACAAAATATAAATCAAGAGTATTTGTAACGATTGAATATGTAGTTATAAATGCATTCATATAAACACAACTTACTATTCTGACCAGACTGACCTCCATTACTGGAATTAGACCCTAGAGGTCTGTGGCTTGATAAACCACAGAGCAAAAGTTGACAGTTTTGGCGGCATTAGTTTGATAGACTATTTAAAATCGTTGAAATGAAATTCCTCTAGGCATATATATAAAAAAAACGAAAAGAATGTGGTGCAGAAAAAAACTAATTGTGCACAGTTACTGTACTTTAAACACAGAAAAACGTACATGTCGTCAGTATTATGAAGTTTTTTGTTTACGACTGCTGTGTAATTTTACTAGTTTACAACATAGTCATGTCATGTATACTTGATGTAAAATAAATGAGTATTCCGTATTCTTAACTCTCTGCAAACTCGAAAATAAATCATTGACCGAGGCACGTTTTATCTACCACCATACAGCGCATGCGTAACATGCAGTATGCAGAGCAGTGAAGGTAGTTATTATGTTACTATTCTACTTATTACGCATGCGTGTCACTAAGCAGATTTTGAACGAAGAACGAAAGAAAATTTGTTGTTGTCAAACCATGGACAAGGTATGTCAAACGATGAAGACTATTTTAGTAGATGATAAATGGATAAGTTTGACTTCTAAAACCGCCAACTTTGGTTCTGTGGTTTGGCCAGTCAAGTTCAAAACTGTGGCAAATCTGTCAAATTGTGAAAAAATAAAAATGAAGGACATTTTGTGGTGTAACCCAACACTACCCCAGCCCTACCATGGTTTTGGTTAAGGTGGGAGTTTTTAGGACATGACAGCTTTGGATACCCAAAAATGTTAATCATACTTCAAAATTTGTTATCTCAAATTGACGTCCCGATTTCCGATGTCAAAAACACCAAAAAATAGGTACGTCCCTATTTTTAGAATAAACAAAATAATAATAATTGCAAGAAGTATCCACTATTTGCCAGTGTGATGAAGGGAATATTAGTCCGTGGTTCCCCGGGTATAATCCCATCCCCATGAACGCGAAACTGTCCCGATTTCGGGGGGGGAGTGGAATTATACCCCGAGATTTCCTTGGCCTAGTGTATGAACAGACGGAAATGACGATCGTTTTGCAAGGTGGTTTTCACCTACAATTCAATAGCCTATCAAAACAATATTCGGGCGAAGAAATCAGTCTTGCATGATGTAACGAGTTACTTTTAGCAGCCAATCTCTGTAAAAACACGCGAGTCTTCACGCTGTGAATTAACGATTCAATCAGCCCACTGGGCAGGTCTTTTCAGGGACGGACCGCGGTGTTGTCTATCTTTACTTTATCCGCAGTTAGCGAGCTGCTTATTTTTAGCGACTGTAAACAACAAAGTAATTTACAAGAATGTGCTTTGTGTTTTAATTTATGGCGACCAATATCAGTTTTAAGCAATTTTAAGAGTTTTAAGTTGGCAGAATTCGGAGACAATTCCTTTATTTTTTGAGCATTTGTTAAATTTATCGACCTAGGCAAGGCCTGCTAGGCCGACTTACCCAATCCTCAGACCCTGGGACATCACCCGGGGAAATTCGTGTACGCGAAGTTGGGCGTAAAGTCTGTAAGCCTATTGATTAAAATGTAACTTAAATATTTTTTCTTGGTTGTGAGGTAAATAAACAGTACACTTGAAATTAAGTAACTCTTGTTTTGTTTGAAGCAACTGCACAGGAATTAGGATATAATTGCCATCTTAATTTTTTGTCACCAATGAATAGCGTCCCTATTTTTGATATTCGAATGTTGGCAGGTATGTAAATATACAGCATTTGATGGACGGACCTGTATGGGGGTGTAGGTGTACGTAAAAACATTAGAAACCATTACTTGACTACATATCCCTCTAAACTACGTTTACGTACAAAGGAACGTACACACCCGCAGGGTTCTGGTTTACTATTGAAAGCGTGTCTGTATGATGGATTGAATTTCTGCTTGGAAAAGTCACTGATTCAAGAAGAATTGAGTGAAAGGTTTTATTATCAAGTGCTAGGCCCGTGAATTTATATTCTCTAGTATTACAACCAAGCAAAGAACATGCTGTCGGTGGGCAAGTATTGAACAAAACATGGTCATTTGGTCCCACTACTAGTCAGGTTAACTACATCATTGTTATGCTAATGTAAATCTCATGCATGAACAAAGCTACCCAAAGAGGACAATGGTCTATAAGTGGAATGCACTAGGCTGTCTCCTACTCCTAAGTGCATTTTTTCTACATTGCTGCTTTGGTGTTGGCGGATTTCTCTCTGTGGATTTAGGTGATTCTTGTTCATATTGTCTTACTAATGCAACTACCAACAATTCTGATCTGCGAAGACGACGACATACTGGGAGGAAAGTAAGATACTACTCCAATCATTATGCCTCACTCAATCTTGTTGTCAAGTGGTGACATCCAACCTAATCCGGGCCCAGAGCCTAAATCAAGGATCACTACTACCAAGCAGATTAATGGAGCAAAAGCGTCCAATAAGAACCTTTATGACTCCTGCAGGAATAATTTTAAATCAAATTTTATTAATATTAATACTAACATTGAGATAATCTTGACTTAAATATTTGTAAATAATGATTTTAAAGTTCTACTATACTATACTATTACTATATCTCATAAATATTGTGGTATTATTATGTCTGGTGACTTGAATTATGATTTTGGAGTTAAAGATCCTTTTATCTTAATTAAAAGAATGATCCTTTTATCTTAATTAAAAGAATGTATTGCTATGCTTGACCTTACTCAATGTTTAGATTTTTTTACCCGTGTTTGTAACACTAAAAATAGTATTCTAAATGTAATCATGATGACCTTCTTAACACGTTTGAGGCGATCCCATGGAATTTATGTTTGGGTCAACAAACCTCTGATGAAATGTGGGAAAGCTTTAAAGATCTTTTTCTTGCCGCAATTAATGATTGTGTTCCTAAAGCTAAAAGTAGGAAGAAAAAAAGGATGGCATGGATTACTCCAGAAATAATAACTATGGTGCGCAAAAAGAAGCGTCTTCTCAAAATTGCCCTTCGTCATCCAAATAATATAAGTAAAATGGAAAAATATAAAAAGTTTAGTAATAAATTAAGAAGTCTAACTAAAAAATCTCATTTGGAATATATCAGAAAATTAAGACGCTTGTGAAAACGGCGATTCTAAACAATTTTTTAGTTATGTCAAGGTGACAGACGGCAAAAATTTTGTTCTTAACAACATACCTTTAGCTTCAAATACTGATGCGGCAAATGCCTTCTCCACTTTTTTCGTCTCAAATTTTAATGTTGCCAATTCTGATTTTGATGTAAATCAAGTGTGTCACGGTAACTGTGATCACTTGATTACGATCCTCTTAATTCTGTTGTTTTTGATGTTAAAAACAATTTTTTAAGCTTTATTGTCACTTAAACCTAATAAATCCCCTCGGCCCGATGGAATAACTTCTAAAATGTTATCTATGACAGCTCCTGCTATTGCACCTGTGTTGTGTAGTATGTTTAATAAATTCTTGGCTAACGCTAATATACCCAAAGACTGGAAACTGGCCAATGTCACCCCTGTACTTAAATCTGATAATCCTAATGACATACAAAATTATCGACCCATTTCGTTATGCCCTATTATTTGTAAAGTTTTTGAATGTTTTATTGCTGACAACATTTTATTTCATCTCCAGTTATTTGGTCTTATTAGTCCAACTCAACATGGTTTTTATCTGAATAGGTCATGTATTACACAAGCAACTGCACTATATCACTACTGGTCTCAAATTTTGATTCTAAACCCCCCCCCCCCCCAGTGATTGATGCAATTTTTTTAGACTGGGAAAAGGCTTTTGACCGTGTTCCCCATGATATACAGTACCTCTTTAAAAATTGCATGACATGGGAGTTTGTGGTCCACTTTTGAAATGTATTAATTCTTTTCTCAGCAATAGATTTCAACGCGTCGTTCTTGGCAATGATTATTCTCAGTGGAATAAGATGTGCTCAGGCGTGCCTCAAGGATCCTTTTTAGGCCCGCTCCTATTTAATATCTTTGTTTATGACTTACCATTTCACATTAATTCTCTTATAAAGCAATATGCTGATGACACCATTATTTACTTGCCTGTAAACAAACCCTGTGATGCTCCAGTCTTGCAAGAAGACCTTCATCGCATATGTAAATGGTGTGATGACAACTGCATGAAGTTAAATGCAAAAAAATGCAAAGTTATACATATAACTAGGAAACAAAATTTTGTACCTCATTTTACTTATACTGTTGATTCCATTTCTCTTGAAGTAATTAATTCATATAAATATCTTGGTATTAGTTTTTCAAATGACTTAACATGGTCTACCCATGTTAACAGTGTACTATATCCTTGAAGTCTCTGAAAATGTTAGGATTTATTAAACGGTTTGTTGGTTTCAATGATGCTACAAAATTACTTAAACTTTTTAATGCATTTTGCTGTCCTATTATTGAATATGGTGCCCCTGTGTGGGATCCACACCAAAAACAGCATCAGATAGCTATTAATAAGCCTTTAAGACGTATCACTAAGTTATGTATTGAAGGTGACTTTGCTAACAGGCTTACAGTAAAACCCTTAATATACCCGATATGGTTCAAAGAATGAAATTTCATTGCATAATTTTTGTTGCAAAATGTTTGCATAGTCTAAACGATCTTGATGTATTAGATTACCTTGTCATAAATGACCGATATCCTGAAACACTCACCTTTAAACATGTTTATGCTAGAACTAATGCTTATAAATATTCCCTGTTTGTGAACTTCTCGCGAATTTGGGATCATATTCCTCGTGATGTTCGTAATAAAGCCTTGTTCCACTTCGAAGGGTTTAGAAGGGATCTCAAAAAAGTGATCAATTATATTGAATTTTAATACTTTTTAAATACTTTTTTAAGTACTCTTAGTTTGGAAAGCCACTTGACAGTGCAATTCTTTGAATTGATCCCACTTATGGCTACCCTCAGGTGCTGATTGTACTCTTGTTTTATGTATATTTTTGTGTTTTTTCACCTGGAAATTGAATAAAATAAAATAAAATGAACATCAAATCTTTAGGATAAGTTTACTTGTGGTCATATTCAGTTTGGCCCCCAAACCTTTTTTTTATGTCCAACCGTGCAAGTACATAATAGCCACAGCTGAATAGCAGCTTTAGAACTAAAAAGCACATCTTGTCTGCACATTCAAATTACAATGCAAAGAACACAACCCAGTATGATGTAATGCAAATACTATTTATACAATAATAATTTTTATGATGCAACTAATATTGATATTTATTTTTAGATCGAGATGATCTTGTTGAGCGTAACAGGGTTGAAAAAATGCAAGAAACAATTTTAGAGGCTTTACAATTGGAACTGCGTCAAAATCATCCTGGCAACCCTTTGGTTCTTCCGCGACTTTTAATCAAACTGGTAGATTTGCGTGAACTCGTTCCGGAGCATGTGGAACAGGTGAGACAAATGATGCTGATGGATGATCCACGGTATACTGGACCAACTCCACTCATGAAGGAAATCTATGGATTATGACCTCCACTATGAACATGTCCCTGATGCCATCATGTAATGGTCTCCTTGAATGTAGTCAGCAGTTGACCCATTCATTTCAGGATGTGTTTCACATGCATCTCTATAGCTGCCTTCAACTTTCTCACTTTCTGCATAATATTTTTACAATGACTTGATTTATTTTCTAATCTAGTTTTATATCAGTTAATTTATATGTAAAACATTCTGTTCAACAAAAATGTAAATTTGTTGATTAATATAGCACTGCAGTTGAGTTTGTGCATAATTACATGTTGTCTTGTGTGGTATGCTTGTCTGTGCTTCTATAGAGTACCACAGTCGTGTCGTCACGATGCCAGGTGGCACTCTCTATTGTCAACAGACGTTGGTTACCGATAATTACGCCTGAATGACTTCATAGGCTTTCTGGAATAGGCATTTTAAAATCTAATATTTTACCATCAAAATGTACTAAAAACACAAAAGCTTGCATTATATTACTTATAGAACACACATTTAATCATCAATTAAAATTTACAAAGAAAAAGTAAGATAAAACATCTTAATAATTACATTAGAAGTTGGGATCAATGGTGTGTTAGTGAAGAAAAAGGCGTCTGGTTGAACGCTTTTTGCAACGATAGCAACGGAGTAGTATCAAGTGGTATCTTGACGTAACACTGTAGCACTCTATTATACTTATTGCATACCCAGTACTTTTCATTCAAGCTGAGGTTATTCTATAATTATTTCTTCTAGTTCTTTAAAGGATGTGTACAGTATATTATACTGGTTTGACATCTATGTTAAAAGTATATGTAAAGTGCGCATAAAACAATTGAAATTGAATATCTTCCACACACAGGAATGTTACAAATGTGTAGTAGCCATCTACATGGTTCTACAAGCTCTCATTATGGAGAATTTGTTTCCAGTTCTCCGGTGTCATGGCGACGCTCTAAATTACCATTAGTTTTAGCATGGAGCATTGCAGAGACACTATGAAAATTCTATTCATCTCTGTGCTCTACTGCCTCAGCTTAGCTTTCTGATGTAATACATCAAAGTATTAAAGTATGTAATACATCAAAGTATTAAAGTAAAGTGAAAATAAAATGGCTCCATCCAGTAAATATGATCAATCAATTGATATTGATATTTACTTGTTTATAAAGTGTTTGCAGCTTCAATGGTAGTGTCACAGACTGGAAAGGCTGACACAGTTGGTAACTGGAGTCATGCGACCTATTTAGAACAATTGTAAACCAAACACAAACACAGCTCAGAATGGAAAACTATGGAATCTTTCCTTGCCATTATTTCTCACATTATGAATTGTGGTGGTGCTTTAAAACCACAACATTACTTTATCCTGTACTACATTTTTCCTTAAATGTGATCATTACTAGTTGGATTTTGCCAATGGGTTGAGCGCCAGCATGCGGGCTGTTTGGCCTCTGCCCAGCCTCTCCGGGACATCTTGCACAGCCCTCAGGGAGTCACGGTGAAACCTGTCTGGGAAAAAAATTTATCATTTTCTAAGCGAGGTATATCTGGCTATTTTCAGAAATAAAAATATTTGTGAAATAACCTAAATTTTTTTCCGTGATTGGGGCTGGAGTGGGTGTGGCCCATCTGTTGGGAATGCTTAATAGCTGCTGGCTGCCAATTTTGTCTATTAGATCAAATATTTAAGGCTACCTTAATGCTTATTCTTATTGGAAAGGTGAAATTTCAGTCAAACCAGCAGGTTAATGTGATCGTATGGAAGATATTTAGCTCATATTTATGGTGGAACTTACCCCTCATCAGATCAAGTCCCCTGTTAGCCATGGTACATGGACCAAGAAATTTCTTTTTGTGCAAGTATGTGCTATAATAAGGTTTCATATGTGTTTGATTCAATGACCGGGGTAATAATGTGAAGCGCTTAGAGTCTTTAGGCATGAAGCGCTACATAAGACTGACATTATTATTATTATTATTATTATGGCTTAATTGCCCAGATTTCTAGGCACCAGGGTCTTATCACTTGACCCCACCAGGTCTTCTCAGACTTCACCGGTGTCAATCAAAATTGTCAGAACTTTGTCAAATAGCTTAGCCCTTTTGGGATATCTCTAAAACCCAACAGTTATTTTCAGAATTACAGGGGTATTGATAATTTCTTACTGCGAACATATATTGTTATTTTGCCATGCAAATCTCTATAAATAATAATAAATTTGTGTACACATCCTTCTGTACATTTAAAAATAAAAGAAAATATGTTGTTTTTTAAAAATGATTGGTTATATTTGGACGAAAAGATGACCATGCAGAAGAAACCTATTTGATTTTGGTTTGTAAATAATAAAAGAATAAATATCAAATAATAGTATTTGAGCCAAAGTAAATTTGAAATAATAGTGGCTCTCATAATTTTCCCAACAGTGCATAGAAAAGAAAAATTACTACTATACAAATTGCTAAATTCATTGTAGCATCTTCAATATATTTTCCCTGTCCCTTAGCAGCCACTAATCAGCTACAGAGACTGTTATGTTTTGCAGCTAGTGTTTAGAATTGTCAGAATTATTTTTTTTTCTTCTAATAAGGTGAATAAAGTTTGAATAAAGATTTAATTGAAAAAAAAAACCAGATTAATACTCTAGTACCACAAACTTTCATTGAGTGTCATTATGGTGTCAGATTGTCATAAAGTATACAAAAGTTGCATGTTTAACAGGGTCATATTTCATCCATTTTTTTATAATCTTAATATGATCATGAAGAGATGTACAACAGTATCTTAATATTTGATAATGGTAGAGAATTCTTGTCAAATAATGGTACTTATGTAGACGATAGAAGGAAGTATAATTGTATTTGATATTTTGTTTGTGCTTTCGTTTAATGCCAGAATGCTTGAATAAGATACTTTAATAATGGTGCCAAATATGTCTTTTTTGTAAGATATAAAAATATTTTTTAAAAGATATTTAGTATACATGTTTATGTATGGTGTTTGTGTTTTTTCTTTGTTTCTTTTTTTTTGGTCTTTCATTGTACAGTATTACAAATGTTAACATGTTTTATAAGTTAATAGAAGCAATTTATCAATAATATTTTAGGGTGGATCTGGGATTACAAAATAAGTAGATCAGGGATAAGGTGGCAGATATTGGGGGGGGGGGGAACAGCAATACAGAGGAGTGGGACACATTATTTTGAGGCAAACTAAGGTTATATTCGGGATTTACCCTAACCTAATGTACATTTTGCCTTTTGGGACCATCGCTGGAGAACACTTGGGTTTTTTTTTATCTGAAATCACCATTTGTGTACACGAGCCGTGGGTTCGCTGAATCTTTATTGCAAAAGAGTTGAATTTACAAGGTATAAACAGGGACCCTGGTATAAAGAAAGTCTCAACAAGGTATAAAGGTAAGACTTCCCGAGTAGGTGTCCTCATACCTTCTTGATCTTCAACTAGAGATCATGAATTGTGTTCCCGTTCGTTCTGGAGGTACCACTAGAGGTCATTATGTTTTTCAATTGATGTCATTATTAGTAATGTAGTAAATAGCTTTAAATATAAATTGTAATTTAAAAATAACATAATAGTTTCATGACTTTTGTGAGGACAGAATGAATTCACTGAAATGTTGGACAGAAGTTGAATTCACAGAACTGGCAGCCATGTTGTCTGCTAGGTGATTGTCAACTTCAATGGAATTAAACTGTTGCACTAATTTGTTTGCCCTTGTTGATATGTAGATATTAAACAACAGTATTTAGTTACCTCACAAGGAGACCAAAGATGGACATTTTATATACAAGAGATGATTAGTTATATGGATTCATTCTTTTTTACCCATAAAGATAAAATCTGCTTCAAAGATTGTATGTTTTAAATATGTTTAGTAGTTATTATAATTTGACAAATAAATAAAGCATTTTCACAGATAACCATGATGAACAGTTTTGAATATGTGTGAGTTTTATTTAATTCTATATTATTTTATATATTATTTTGATATCTGTTTCAATGTGAGCGTATCAATGGCATGTGAAAGAAAATGCTTCCAGTCGGAACTAAGTACACTAGTTTACTAAACATACAAACTAAAATAAATACACAAATAAAAACAGTACAGTACTGCAGTTAATATACGATTACAGCGGGGTTTTAGTATTTACATTACATGGAATGTGGCGGTGGGGGCCCTGTGGCCCTTTATGGGTCCTGGTCACCAATATAGGATTTTAGATATGCTCTTTTTAAATCATTTTTTCATTGTATTCTAAAAGTTTTTAACAATGAAAATGATAACAGTTTTTTTTATATTTTTTTTTTGTCGGACATGGAAATAGACGTTTTAGGGTTTTTTTAGACCTATTGATATTCTAGTAGTGTATCTCATTGTTATTGTTTGGTGTTTAGCTTATACACGGTCTTACCATGTTGTTCCAAAGCTCTCCAGCCGATTCTGTGTGCCCTTTGCTACTGAAGTGAAAGCAATCTGGAGCAAAGAAGCTGAAATCGGGCTTTCCCGTCCGTAGAAATAAAGTTAAACAAATAATTATAAATGAATCAACAAGGACCGCTGTGCTAATCCCCGCCCATTTGCTAGAGTCCCACTCCATTGCAGCCAGTGCCTATGATTTGGCACCTCTAGATGGTGGCTGGAAACGGACATCACAGACTTGAATATAATTTCTGTTTATTGCGGCATTTTTTTAATTGAGGGGTCCGAGCCGGCTGGACCCCTTTAATACGTCACTGTATATAATATGGTAAATACAGTTGTTATCAGACACATTGATTCTGTTATACTGAATTATAAATATATATCATATTATATCCATTGGTGGATTAAGGTGGGTGACAGCGTCGATGTCAGAGACACATTGAAGCTGTTATACTGTATATCATATGATATCCAGTGGTAGATTAAGGTCGGTGACAGCCGGCCTGGGTCCTCCCCAAATCTTTCAAATTTTTTTTTTAATGGAGAAAAGAAACTTATAATATTCAAATGTTAAGTCTGTAAGTGCCATTTTCGGCCATCTAGAAGTGCCATAATCATAAATTATCTTGCCTCAGCCCAAACCATCTGTGAAAGTACCTCCCTGTCCCCCTCTATTTTATTTTTCGTCATTAAGAACATTTAGAATACAATGAAAAAGCATGATTAAAACACGAGCATATCTAAAAATCCACAATGGAATTGGCAACCCTGGAAGGGCCCCAGTCTCAGAGGCCAAAGGGCCCCCGGCCATAGCGTTACGCCACTGCTGTTATCTATATAAATAATATACATTAGATAATTCCCCGAAACAACTATGGTCCATTTCATAACCTTGTATTCTACGTTTTTCTCCCGGACAGGGGGAGGGGGAAGCTCTTCCCGACGGCGGGGCCCTGGCCCTCGGCCCACGCTTGTGCCACTACTGTTCTTAACGTTAAGACAAAACATGCATTTCCTATCCATCTCAGCACTCTTGTAATTTACAAAACCATTACGGTTACGGTCCCCGGGCTTGTAATCTAGGTAAGATGATCCTTGCCATAGCTCAGAAGAGAAATTCCTTATTTTTTTGTATACTGTATCTGTATGAATCTTGCATCCCGGAAATCTTGAGGCACTTCTTCTTTCCAACATTTTATCGTAAATTCCTCTTTTCTCTTTTGAGATTGTCTGATCGTTCAAGCACTTCAGAATTTCAGCAGGTATAGAGTTATATTTTTTCAAAGAAATTTGCTAAAAATGATACTGTAATTTGCCTGTCGAATTACATTACCAATGTGGTCTGAAATCACTATTTTGGGCCATAAAGATTCCCCCTGTATTTTTCAACCACCACACAAATTTGACCCAAACGTACATATAAGTATGTATGTTATAATATATGTATGTATGTGTATATATATC